GAATCTTAATTTTATATGGTATTATAATAACTGCTCACCTATTGCAAAATATCAAAGAATCTTAATTGCAGAGTATTTATACTCTAAAGCATGCATGGTGACCTGGATCGTCTCAACAAGTTTGGAGGCATAAAGCAAAATTTCATAAATAGGTCTTATCTTATTTAGTTGTCATATATAAATTAAATAACTATAGCATATTCAATGTAGTCTTACAAGTGGAATCTCGAGAAGGTAAAATTTACGGAAAGATAGTATCTACGCAGACTTATGAAGTAAAAATGAAAACAATGAAACATTTCAAACAAAAAATATAGTATAAAGTTGGAATAATAAAGTCTGTAGTAATGTGGATTCATTATAATCACCATTATACGAATAACAAAACAGGTAGCTACATTAGAAAGGATGCTTCAACTAGCTAAACACTATTTTATTTCTCAATTATTACAACGACCTCCATATTAAATAAAGTAAAGAAGATGGTTTGGTAGACTTTAGAATATTCAATAATGAGAGAATAAAAATAGAAAAAGAATCGAATAAAAGGTAAATGTATAAATAGTATTGTGGGTTCATGATAATCGCCAAGATATAAATAAGTCAACAAAGTAAGTAGCTACCTAGAAAAAAATGCTATAATTAACCAATTACTATTTTATTTCTCAATTATTATAACGATATCCACATTAAATAAGTAACGATTACTACGATCATATTTCCTACCCTAAAAAAATATTTTCAATTTTTTATATATAATAAGAGCCCTAAAAAATCTGAAATCTCAAGCAATAAGTAATGACCTTATAATTGAGCCGTCACCAACATAATTGGGTAAAGAAAGTAACAGATGTATTCTTAAAATTAAAATGTTAAACATTTTGATTGTCACTTAGTTTTGTTAGATATAAGCTTTTATATTTTAAATTTAGTAAATATATTCCTACTAATAAAAAGAGTAAAACATACATCATTTGCTAGACGACAACCTATATATATGCATCACTCTTTAAAGGAGGATATATCTACTTTTCCATCTTGAATTATTTTTCGTACTCTTCTTTTATTCATCTCTTAATAAAATATTAATTAGAAGAAATTTATTATTATTTATCTTTAATTATGGTTTATGATATGATAATAGCTACTCCATAAGAATGCAAGTTTTTTAGCCTCTAATCATATAAAAAAGAGACTAAAACAATTTTATAAAAACAGAATGGTCGAAAATAGGGGTGTACATGATCGAGTTGGTTAGGGTTTTCAAATATCAAATCAAATTATTTGTCTCGGATTTTTGAACTTATAAATCAAATCAAATCAATAAAACTCGAGTTTTTCAACTTCGGGTTTTTTTGAATTTCTTCGGGTTTTTCGATTTTTTTTTGGATTTTCAGGCTTTTCAATAAAATATTCATACAGACATATAATTTACTTGTACTTCAAGTCTTTCTTTAGTCCTACCAAATGTAACTATCTCAGTAATTTCTCAAGAAAATAACAAAAAATATGATATGATTAATGTCACTAAAATATCCAACAAAAAAATAACAATAAAATCGCTTAAACAAATATTGCAAATATATAAGTCATAATGAAATTGATCAGAATTTAAATTACTAAATCATGCTAAAATAAGTTTAGTAAGTATCAGTTATATGACTAAATTAAAAGAGAGTAAAATTAGATCATGTATTTTAATTTTCTAAATTTATGTAAAACTAAAAAACAAATATTCAATATTATTGTCATTCTTACACTTTATTTGGATCATTATTACCCATTGTTTCATAATTTATTGTATTATAATATACTCTATTGTACTGTACTGAATGGTAGATACGATGTTTGTATAAACTGTATTGTTTGTTATTGTTTGATAATATTTTAATTGTTCGATTTGATTATATCCTACTTTATTGTAATTTATAAATTTACTAAAATATAGTTCATCTGTTAGAAGCAACACGATAATCTAACAAAATTATTCCTTACTTAATTAGCAGTATTTAGTCCTAGATTAGAAATAACTTTAATAGACAGAATCTTATGAATAATTGGATTTTTCATTAAAAATAATGCATTCAAATCCTAAATGAGTTTTTATAAGTTAACTAAATAATTATAAAAAATAGAGTTTTAATATGACATGGCATGCCATAAAAGAAGTGTTTTGTAATGTTTAATATATTGTGGGGGAAAAGACGAATAGTTGAATAATATTCTAGTCCAAATAGATATAAAAGTGATTTAAACTTGATGATTATTCAGAAATTAGGGGTGTGTTTGGTAGGAAGGAAAATTTTTTTTTCATGAAAAATGTATTCCCAAAAAATATTTTCTTGGAAAAATAAGTGAATTTCTATGTTTGGTTGACGATTAGAAAATATTTTTTAATATTTAGCTGGTGAATGGAAAATATTTTTCAGTAAATATCTGTTATTTTTGACTTGAGACTAAAAAGTACTCTTTAGAAAAAAAAATTCTGATTCGAAAATCAACCCCGATAAAGCGATAATTGATGTAGGATCCAATCACGACACCCAACTAAGACAAGACTCTGATGACCGTTTCAAAATTCGATCTTGAGGTTTGACCCAAGATCTAATTCAAGAAAAAAAATCAAAAATATTTTTTAAAAAAATTGACTGGATCGCTGGGGAGGTGGGTGGCTTAAAATTTTAAAATTTGAAATATCTTTCGAAAAATAATTTATTTTTTTAAAAAAGAACTATTTGGATAGGAACTAGGGGGGATTGGCATATAAGATGAAGATTTTTTTAATTTGAATTATTTCCCTAAAATAATTTTTCTGATAAAAATTTTCTGACATGAATGGCCTGGGTTGGTTTGGCTGGCGTAAAAATGAAAAAATATTAAAATTTGAAATATTTTTTAAAAATAATTTAGTTTTTTAAAAAATTAATTGACGGATATGGCCTGGGTTGGGAGTGGTGGGGTGATGGTGACCTAAAAATAATTTTCTTTTGAAACATTTCCCAAAATAATTAAAAAAAATAAAAATTGGCGGGGTGACAGAGGGAGGGGTGGCCTTATTGTTGTTAAGGGGGGGGGTGAAAATTTAAAAAATAAAATTGAGGGTGGGGGGTTAGGGAGTAGGGGCGGTTAGATTTGGGTGAGGTAAAAAATACATTGAAATTTGATATATTTTCAATAAATATCTTCTTTTTTTCTAAATGGATAGGGTACGAAGAAAAAAGTAAAGTTTTGAAAAAAAAATTTCTTAATTTTGAAATGGAAGTCGTATTCTTTAAATTTATAAAAAGATAAATTGATTTGAAAAATATTTTCAAATCTTTAAACTAACCAAACATTGAAAAATCAAACTCGAACCTAGGCAGACACTGGTCAAGCCTATTTGCCTATTTGTTCAAACCAAATTTTACCGGTTCAAGATTTTGCATTGGTATTGAATAAAAAAATCATTGTTAATAGTGCAAATTTGGATATCTTAAATTATTTATTGTATTCTTATTTTACACGTCTCTTAATAGAACATTAATTAGGAGAAATTTATTAGTATTTATCCTTAATTATGTTTTAAGATATGATAATAATTACTCTATTTATGTGCCATAATTGAGATGTTTATATTCTTTATAACCAATAAATACAAATTATAAAATGAGAAATCATGATTCATTTTGAATTAAGCTTATAAAATTACAAATTAATTTGAGATAACATATCATATAATACTAAAAGCATGAACAAAAAAGTTGAAAGTTGAATTACGATTTTACCTTTTCTGTAAATTCAATTATTATAAAATATTTAAATATTTGATTGTATAAATTTAATTAAATTTTAATGACTTTTAGACTTTCTAAGATTAATTCCTAATTAAACATCTAATTTATTAATATTTATCATCTATAATCTATATATATATATATAATAGTTATAATTTTTTTTAAAAAAATCTTTTCCTAAATTTCTTTTCTTTCCCTCTTCTTATAACTTTTTCCTTAACCCCCCCTCTCATGAATAATATAATTGATGTGGATAAAGTATTATCCTTTATGATAAATAACGAAATTTAATAATTTAAAGGGTACAAATCTATAAAATGGAGACGCACATTGATAATGTCCTCTTGATTATTATTAAAGAATGACTCTAGCTTCACAGATTTAAATTCATTAATGCTTAATTACATGATAAGAACTTTAGTTGTTCTTTTTACATGGTTTGCTAACTTTAATTTTTTTCTTCATATTCTTCATTTATTTATTATTATTTTCTAATTACTTATTTAACTTTTATACACTTAATATTCATAACTCTCATCTTTTCATATTCATAACATCCAAATATTTAAACTAAAACTTTAAGATATCTTTTGATATTCCTTCTATTCTATTTATATAAATTCATCTTCTTTATCTCATGAAATCCCTATCAAGATTATAAGGCTATTATTTTTATTCTATAGAAAAAACAGATGATGAAGACTCTTGAATTTTGATAGGATATGAAAGGAGTCGATAAAAACTCAGAGAGTTATGTACTAATTTTGTACTTATATTTTCATATATATATATATATACATCAATCTTATAAGAATAATGTCTATATTGTATTTTTCTTAAATATTCTGTTTCTTTTTGTCTTTTTTTTCCCCACTCTTTTAGACTTCTTAATTTAGTTTTCTATGAATGTTTTATTGCCGTAAGTCTTTGAATTTTGTAATTGATACATTTTATTATTCATTATAATTTACATATATATTTTCATGAGATTTTAGTCATTCTAACGTATCTATAAAAATTCACATGAAACACATGTGCGAAGCACGTCCTCAGAAACTAGTTTTTAAAAAATCACCAACAAATAATTTGACGCAAGATGTCACATTATAACCCATTGGCATTTCAGGACACTAACTAATTGGCTGCTAAAACAAGAAACCTTTGCTTTATAACATTTCAAGTAGACACAATTTTAAACAACTTAGCCTAATTGTTCCAAATTGAAGCTGCAAAATCTGGAAATTATCTTTGAGATTCGTAATAAAATCCTTACATTAAGAGTTTTGTTCTTGTCAATCAATCTTTTACCAAAAAAATTAGAACAGTTCCAATGTCAATCCCATGGAATAATATAAAAAGAACATAATTACACAAACTATTTGTTCTCATGTAACAGAAGTATAGGCCATGAGATGTGCAGCCATCATCAAACCAGGACAATCAAAACAGAAAAAAATTCACAAGATTAACACACATGTTTCTTCTATTTCCTTGGGAGGTCTTTCAAAGCAGGTCGTTTGTCCGGCCTTAACGCAGTTAAAGTGCCGATATCTCCTTTGACATTTGGAGCATTTTCTTTCATGTCAGCTATCTGAGTTAGTTTGTTAGGGGTTCCATGTATCAGAATGCTTCTGGCATTCTTCTTTTTCACAGTGGAGTTCAAGTGCTTGGCAAAAGATGTTTTAGCCACACCTGTTGCTGGGGTTAAAGCTACTTTCTTTTCAGCCAACTCGTCCTTTTTCTCAAATATCAGTTTACCTTCACCAGCAATGCCTAAATGACATGACAAATGCATAATTAGTATAGTCAAACCTAAATCTTAGAAATATATCAGACAAATTCAGCAGGTATCAGCAGCCTTGTTTACCTTCCTCGGTAAAGCTAATGCCTTCATGAGATTTAGAAGGTGCTAACACTGCTTCGGTTGATTCATGCTCCTTTTTATCAAAAGATTCATCTTGTTGCTTAGCTGCACTTGACTTCTCTTTATCACTTCCACACCGAGGCTCTTCTGCAAATATTCCAGGCATGTCCATTTGTGTAGTGAGACCTGAATCGTTAACATTCATAGACGTGCTTTCATTTGATTCAAATATAACAAGTCTGTCCCCCTCAGCAGCAAGATCATATTCCTTAGAAGCATGTTGACATTCATTTGTGAAAGCAGTAAACCCCTCAGTGCTCGAAACATCATTTTCTATCACATAATGTTCTGGAAACTGGAATTGCTCATCAGCAGGCAAAACTGTTGAATTGTTTTTTGCATATTCATCATCATTGAGGATATTATCTAGGAAAGTATTACTGATATTGCTCACTTCTAATTTTTGCACTTCATCTCCCTTAGTCTCTTCTACTGTGATGATAATTGGTTCCTGACTTCTTAATGCAGTGGATTCAGCATCAAATTCAAGAATTCCACTTTCTGAAATTCATTACTAAGTAAGCAGTTTTAAATTTTGGAGAAAAATATCAACAAACAAAATAATTCAAGATAATTGAAAGTTAAAGATCACAAAATCTTCATAAAGTTGTCTCTTAGGATAAGAAATGGATACCCTGAGGTTACTAACCTCTATGTACAAATTTCATGCACAAAGAAAAATATTAATAAAACAAAACAATTCAAGATAACCTGAGGTTGCCACATTGTTGCTCATACAGAATTATTGAACTCACCAGCACTAACAGAAAAGCCATCGGTCTTCCTTGTGCTCTCCTGAGTTACGTTCTCAGTTTTGATGTCAGTTAAAAGAATGTTAGGTTTTTGGCAAATGGCATCACTTAAAGCACCACTTTTTGCTGCTTCATCAATATTAATTACTTCGTCTTCAATAGATTCTTGATATGGTACTGGATGATTGTCTTCCTTGCCCTCAGCCAGAGCATTATCTTCTGTGACTTCCCCTTCCTCATGCAAGGGCTCGAATGGACGGGCAGAACCAATTTCTGCATCATTGGCAGTCCAAATATCAGGCTTATGCATCTATTTAGGGACCTTACAAAATAGAAACTGAGAAGTGTACGAGTAAAATCTTTATTTCCTCAATACTTTTAGGATTGGGAGCCAATCATTCTAAAGAACTACCTGATAATATCCAGTACTTCATTTGGTAATAATAATCCCGATAACACTGCCACATTTCTTAACCATCAAAACCATAATTCGGCGATGAAGAGGGTGTTTGGATGAGCTTATAAGCCAGTCAAATTGGGTTATAAGCAATTATTGGATTATCTACATGTTTAACAAACACAAAAGTGTTTATAAGCCTTATGCAGTTGTGCTTCTAAACCATAAGCTATTTATCCCCAGCTTATACATTTCATCTTTCAAACACTACATTTGATCAAATATTTTAATATTTTATCCTTGATATTTTTTAAGTTCCTCTATATAGTGTTCCAAGAAAACTGATTTCAAATGTTTCAAGCATCTGAAGACATAGTTTCTAATTCTTCCACCTGCAGTTCATTTAATCATTCCAAATTCACAATTGTACCATTCAAGAATTCATTTTATTATATACTCAGACTTGCAAATTGATCACACACAACATCAAAAACAAATATTACCTTTCTGTGTCTCTAGTTCTGTCTGTATGGGAACATTGTCATCGTTTGTTTGAATCCAATGAAGTGTAGCTTCACCTGTATCAGCAGTTATTGCATTTGAAAATTGACAATCTCTGTGCTGTTCAAAATTTTGTTCTCGATTGTTAAGGAGCTTAACACCATCCAGATACTTGAAGATATCTTCCTCACAACCAGGACTTTCCTCAAACTGTAGTGGACGTGTACCTTTTGATGGTGTAGTAAACAGAGGCCCTCCTTTAAATTGCTCAATCTCTTTGGAGAAATGAGAGCTTTTTGTTCTATCAGAACCTCCACTAATAATCTCAACAGTAAGTGGTTCTCCAGCAAATTCAAACCCTTGCTTAGGCTGCTTACCAGCCATTTCAGAAGCCCATGCAATCATTGCTGTCTTCAATTGACAACTAGAAGCTTCACCCAATCTGGAAGGGCTTACTTCTTTGATTGGGGTGGCAAACAGCAGTCTCAAGTGATCTTCAGTACCATCATTAAAAGCATCAGACGTTTTAATGTTCCCGAGACTGCTCTTATTGATCTCCGGCAACATTTGTTGTTCGGAAAATCCAATATCATCACATGTAGGCTCTGAAATAGGAGAAGCAATTCTGTTCGGACTGCTCTGATTGATCTCCGGCACCATTTGTTGTTCAGAAACCGATTCACTGAGATCTCTTTCCACTCCACTGCAAATATAACGTTCCATTTCATGACTTAGGCTATAGTTTCCTTTGGTAGAAGTAGTCTCTTGGTGACTGCATTTCACAGAGACTGGTGATGCAAATGAAGTCCTTACTTGTTCCACTGTTACAATAGACATCCCTTAGCAAATCTTAGAAACCGAAAAGAAAAGAGGGCGGGAAAGAACTGAAAATCCAGCAGGAAGGCAGAAACCGGTTATTCAAAAGAGACCATGTCAAAAAAAGGAATTTCAGAACCAACCTTGCTTGTTCTCAAACAAATCCCTGACAGATTCACTTAAATTTACTTTTCCACTTGAGCCAAGTCCTCTAGTGGTCATTGCTTCTCCACTCAATTGATTTTCAAAAAGGTAGTGCAGGTCTCCAACAGATTGTGAAACAACAGAGGGCGTAGCAAACAAACCTTTAAGATCTTCCCCCACTGCATCAAGTTGAAGAGTTCGACGTGTTTATTAAGTTTTACAAAACAATTACCATTACCAGCAGATGATGCATCTGCATGTCAAAATATACTTACGAAGTGACAAGTGAATATGGTCAAAGTAAGAGAAAATTGATGGTTTAAAACGAAAAAGGGGCAAAAGAGATCTACTGGATTGTTCATGAACAACCTAAATTTTAAAATCCTACAGCTTCAACTAAGAATATTAACTAAGCAATGCCTCGGAAATCATAATTAAGGAAGAAAGGCTAACTGTTCTCATTTTCATGGAAACTATGTTGGTATTGACTGCTTGTCTCATTAATCGCAACACTAGTTGCTATATCTGCCTTGCTGCTTTTACCACCAAATGGTGTGGCAAACAATCTTTTCAGATACTCTCCTGTAACATAGTACAGCGAGCTGTAAGTAACATATATTCTTCGGGGAAAAAGAAGAAGTCTAGGACTAACCTTGGCCATGTTCACCATAATCACAGACAGAATTTTGGAGACTTGACGTATCATTACCACTAATAGGAGAAACTGCAAAAAACACAAGGCAAAATTCCAAACAAAAATTTGATTTACAGCAATAAATTACATAAAGTAAAAATGTAACAAAAGCACTTTCAGCTAACCTTGCCCCTCTCTTTTGAGACCCTCCTCCCTTGAATCACCATCCAAAGAAGCTTTCTTTTCTTCTTTAGAATGTGAAACATAACCAGGAGTGGCAAACAACTTTTTTAACTCTTCGCCTGTTGCATCATAAAGGGTATAGAAATGAGCAATTGCAAAGAACAGGAGTAAGAAAACCTCAAAGCTACCTTGCTTAACTTCATCACAGTCCTCTGATGGAGTTACATGGAATGTGATGTTCTCATTTTCATGGAAACTGTGCTGGCACTGACTGCTTGTCTCATTAATCGCACTACTAGTTGCTATATCTACCTTGCTGCTTTTACCACCAAATGGTGTGGCAAACAATCTATTCAGATACTCTCCTGTAACATAGGACAACGAGCTGTAAGTAACATATACTCTTCAGGGAAAAAGAAGTCTAGGACTAATCTTGGCCATGTTCACCACAATCACCGACAGAATTTTGGAGACTTGATGTATCATTACCACTAATAGGAGAAACTGCAAAAAACACAAGGCGAAATTCCGAAATTTTTTTTGATTTACAGCAATAAATTACAAAAAGTAAATATGTAACAAGAAGCACTTTCAGCTGACCTTGCCCCTCTCTGTTGAGACCCTCATCCCTTGAATCACCATCGAAAGAAGCTTTCTTTTCATCTTTAGAATGTGAAACATAACCAGGAGTGGCAAACAAAACTTTTAACTCTTCACCTGTTGCATCATATAAAGGGTACAGAAATGAGCAAATCGCAAAGAACAGGAGTAAGAAAACCTCAAAGCTACCTTGCTTCTCATCATCACAATCCTCTGATGGAGTTACATGTAATGTGATGTTCTCATTTTCATGGAAACTGTGCTGGCACTGACTGCTTGTCTCATTAATCGCACTACTAGTTGCTACATCTACCTTGCTGCATTTACTACCAAATGGTGTGGCAAACAGTCTTTTCAGATACTCTCCTGTAACATAGCATAACGAGCTGTAAGTAACATATACTCTTCAGGGAAGACGAAGAAGTCTAGGACTAACCTTGGCCATGTTCACCACAATCTCGTAACGAACTATGGAGATTTGATGTATCATTACCACTAATAGGAGAAACTGCAGAAGTCACAAGGCAAAATGCCGTACAAAAATTTGATTTACAGCAATAAATTACAAAAAATAAAAATGTAACAAGAAGCACTTTGCAGCTAACCTTGCCCCTCTCTGTCGAGACCCTCGTCCCTTGAATCACCAGCCAAAAAAGCTTTCTTTTCTTTAGAATGTGAAACATAACCAGGAGTGGCAAACAAAATTTTTGACTCTTCGCCTGTTGCATCAAAAAGGGTATAGAAATGAGCAAATTGCAAAGAACAGGAGGTAAGAAAACCTCAAAACTACCTTGCTTCTCTTCATCACACTCCTCTAATGGAGTTACATGTAATGTGATGCCATCACCAAGAACACCACGTTCTGCAACTAAAAGAGATGATCAATGTATTATAAAATTCATAGAATCGGTAAGTAATGAAAAAATGTTGCTTACCTTGAAGATCTAGAACTGTTTTTATGGGACTTGAAACGGTTTTCTCGGGAGCAGCCACCTCCAAGTTTCTACATTCTTCTGCATGAATTTCATCTTGACTTGTGAAGGTGGGTGCATCTAGATCATAATTAGCGTCCACTAGATCAGATTCAGCGTCTGATTGTTCCATAGGACCAGATTCAGCTTCTGCTTCAGAAATTTTGCATTCCATCTCATTGCTATGATTGAAAGCACCTAGATTGTCCAACAAAACATTACTAGACAACCCCGCATCCAACTCTTTAGCATAGTCCATTGCAGTTAGCTCTTGTTCACCATAATTCACACCAACAGAAACAATATATCGAGTCGCTGATGATTCTTTAAAACCAGAATCAAGCTTATCTTCCATATTAACACTCTGGTTTACTGAACAGCTATCAAGAACTTCCTTAGATGATCCTGAGTCAAATTCTTCTGCAGTATCTGCTGCAATTGACCCATACTCCAGTTTGTCAGAAGTTATGTCATTTGGAACTGCATCATCAGCCAAAACAGAACTAGGACATAGGCCTTTGCTTCCAGGCTCCTGTTCACCATAAGTTACCCCCTCCATAACAATATATCCAGTCTCTGATTGTTCCTTCAAGCCAGCATCAAAGTGCTGTTCCATATTATCAAGAACTTCAGTAAATAAACCCGTCTCAACTTCTTCGGCATTATCTGCCTCAACTGTTCCATGCTCCTGTTTGTCAGAAATTATGTCATTTGGAACTGCATCATCAGCCAAAGCAGAACCAGGACATAGGACTTTGCTTGCAGGCTCATGTTCATCATGACTTACTCCTTCAGTAACAACACATCCAGTCTCTGATTGTTCTTTAAAGCCAGAATCAAGGTTTTCTTCCATATTTTCACTCTGGCTTGGTGAACAATTATCAAGAATTTCATCAGACAATCCTTCCGCATTATGTGCTGCTATTGAACCATGCTCCTGTTTGTCAGAAGTTATTTCATTTGGAACAGCATCATCAGCCAAAATTGGACTAGGACATAGATCTTTGCCTGCAGGCGCCTCATGATCACACTGCAAAAGTTCCTCAACTAGGTTCTGCTTGGGTGTAGCTGCAAATGCGAAATAATGAATTAGCACTCTTAAAAAAAAAATGTTAACTTATTACTAGATAAACTAACCATTGGAGTTGAATGAATCACTGAATGGTTCAGATATGGAATTATTTTCAGATGGGGAAGCATTTGCATCTACAAGTGGTCCTTCCTCAATCAATCTGTCAGCTAGGGGGCTTGACTCAGCAGCTGCATCATCCTTAGTTCCAGAATCAAGGATCTCTTCCATATTATTACTCTGGCTTAGTGAACAATTATCAAAAACATCATAAGATAATCCTGTAACAAATTCTTCTACATCATCTACTACTGTTGCACCAGGCTCCTGTTTGTCAAAAGTTAGGTCATTTGGAACTGCATCATCAGCCAAAACAGAACCAGGACATAGGCCTTTGCTTGCAGGCTGCTCCTCGTGGTCAGACTGCAAAAGCTCCTTAAGTAGGTTTTCCTCAGGTCTAGCTGAAAATACGAAATAATGAATTAGCACTCTTCACAAGACAATGCATAATATTAACCTAAGTCCAGATACACTAACCGTCAGAGATGAATGGATCACTGAATGGAAGAGATTTCGATGCAGATTTATTTTCAGATAGAGAAGAATTTGCATCTACAAGAGGTCCTTCTTCAGTTAATTTGTCATCTAGGATGCTCGACTCAGCAGTTGTGTCATCCTTGGTGCCAGCGAGAATTATATTGACATCATCTGGGACAGCATCTAGCTCATTCAGAGATGATCTTGAGAAGCTCATTGTACCTCCTGACCCTGAGATATTACAATCTTTATTGTCAGGTTCTCTGACTATTTCCATGTCCTCAGGCATGAGTACTTCTACTTCCACATTTGATCTTTTAAGTCGACCCTGCTTCTTCTTCCCTGCAGTACTTGTCTTTTTAACAACTGATGCCTTGACACTTGCCTTTGAACTACTTATGGACTGTTTCGCTGAGTCTAAATCTTGAAGGGTGAACTTGTTGGTAGAATCTTTATCTTGAACAGCGCAATTTCTCTTTGTCAGCTGATTCTCACCCTTTTCCTTCTTATCATCTGAAACTGCTGCAAGAGTATGCCTAGAAGCACTCCTTCCAGATCGTCTCCTCTCTTCTTTTACCACAGAAGTTTCTTCTTGCACTGATCTGTCCAATATCTTGGTGTCTACATTTGCATTAGCAACATTCCTTCTAGACAATCTCCTCTCTTCTAATTTATTTTCAGCAATATCATGTTTAGCAAGTACGGGATCTTCCATTTGTTTAGCAAGCCTTTTAGACCTCTTTGAAATCTTCTGGGGTTCTTCTTTTGTCCTTTTACTTCCCATCTCACCATCATTAGCATTTAAGGTTTTTTTCTCCTTTAAAACCACAACTTCATCACTTCTTAATTTCTCCAGATAAGGAACAACAGATTTACGCCTATTACTTCTGACAGGAACTTCTCCAGTTTGAAGAACCACTTCAAGAGTCCCTTGAGATTCAGTTGGTCTACCTAATTTATTTTCAGCAATATCATCTTTGGCCAACACTGAATCTTCCACTTGTGTAGCAAGCCTTTTTGACCGCTTCAATGCTTTCTGGGGTTCTTCTTCTGTGACTTTTTGCCTTAGCTCATCATCATTAACAGTCAAGAAATTTCTTTTCTCCTTCTTGGCCGCAACTTCATCACCTCTCAATTTCTCCAAAGGAAAAACAGATTTGCGCCTATCACTTCTTCTAGGAGGATCTTCTACAGGTTCTTCAAGTTGAAGAACCACTTCATGTTTCCCCTTCGATTCAACAATTTTGGTTCCACTTTCCGATGTTGAAGCTTGTACAGTCGAGCTAGACTGATTTCTAGTCCTACCCCTAGTAACCATCTTTTCTTTAGTAATATCATCACTCAACCTTGATCCCTTATCCTTATTAGCTATCCTTCCAGACCTCTTCAAAGCCTTTTCGGGTGCCTCCACTACACTATTCTGCCGAGACCCTCTTGTGATTACTCTGGCTTCATCTTTGACAGCTTCAACTGAAGATTCAACAAATTCAGTACAAAGCTGTTCCTCACTTGTCTCAATGGCTTTCCTGCCCCTAGTCCGGTTCCTTTTGTTACTGAGATTATCCTCAACTGGTTTCAAGTTCCGAGACCTTGTAACCCGAGCTGGCTTCTCCACGACCTCCTCCCTTACTTCTGCATCAACCTCACTTTGAACAGGCAAGGTCTGATGATGAGTCATAGATTTCCTTCTTGTTACTCTTTTCGGCTCCTTGGCTTTTGTTTCAGACTTTGTGCACTCATCCATGTGACCACCACTAATGAATGTCACTTTCTTGTCCCTCTTCTCTTCCCTATCAATTGCCTTTTCACTTTCATCCATCTTCAGCTCCTCTTGAGAATCCTCTACACTCTCTTTAGCATTTTTTCGACTTCTTACTCTTCTACTCATCCGTACACCATCATTTGCTCCCTCATTTTCTTCCCTCTTTTCCAGTATAATACCTACTTCCTTGTTCTTCAATGTTCTTTTTGTGGTCACTCCAACTTTATCCTTACTCTTATTCACTGAAATTACACTATCTTTCACCTGCCTTGTCCTTCCCTTTTTCTCAGTAACACCATCTTCTATATTCACTCCCTGCGACCTAGTAACCCTAACTGGACTATCCAAAATGCCTACTTTTAACCCATCACTCCTAACATTCAAATTGTTCTTGTACAACATTGTATTCCGCCTCCCTCCCCTTTTCACTTGAGCCGATCTCGTAAACTCAATAACTTCATTATCAGGACTAAACTTCACTTTCTTTACCTTCCTATTAACAGCGTCAGACTCATTCTCATCCAACATCTTTAAACATGATCGCCCTCGAGTTAAGGGCTTTTCATCATTTACCTAAACATTAACGACAAATTTAACCAAAAAGACAAATTTTCTAGAAACCCAGAAAATAAATAAAGAAATTAAGATTACTCATTACCTTGAGTAGTGAAGAAAGCTTGTTGGCCATTTCTAAATTGGTTAAATTTGCAGGAATTCCATGTTCTTTGCATAATGCTTGTAGTTGTTTCCTTTTCATATTTTCAAAATCCATCTCTGCAATTTTTCATCCAACAATCAGAAAAAATGGAAAAGGAGGAATCAAAGTAAAAAAAAAAATTGGCAGGAAGATCATACCTGAGATAGAGAATTTTGGTTTTCGTTGTGAAAATTTTGAAATTTGGGGCACTTTTTGAATTTAATTGAAGGGATAAGGGTTTGAAATTTGAATTTGAGGGATTTCCCGCTTCTTAACGAACCCGACCCGATCACGTGCAGGAAAGCGTGTTTGGGAATTTTCTGATGGAGCGTAAAAAATAAAGGAGCTTTCTTTTTTTTATTTTTAAATTTTTAATTCTACTTTTATATTTTGTTTGGATGGTTTTTAAATTCATTGTCAGATAATGATAAAAAAATTCACTTTATGTTATGGATTGATTTAATTTGATCGCGTTTTTATCTTAATATTTTTTTCTTATTTTATTTTTATTTATTACTTATTAATTTTTATATTTTATCTTTTACACTACGTTACTCTACTTTCTTTTAGATTTATTATACAATTATGCATATATAATATTTTATAATGATAAAAGAATATACAATTTATTAAAATAATAAGATATACTATATACAATATAATAAAATATATTATGAGACAATACGTAATAACGGACTTTAGAGTAAAGTTGAGGTTGGTATGCATTTAACCAAATTTAATAAATTTGGGGATCCAAATTGTTCTTTTTCACGACGATCCGAACCTTGTGTCTCTTATCCAATCTTATCCGTCTAACTTCCTTTAATCCAACCGCCATACACAGCTCTAAGCATACACTGCATATTTATTTTAACTATTGTTTAAATTTTACTATATCGTATTACTTAAAGTTATTTTTTGATATCAAACATTTCCTTACTTTAACATTTTTTTTTATTTTATTTTTATTTATTATATTTAAATTTCATTTGTTTAATAATTCTTATGCATTATTGACTTGATATATGAAAAAAGAAATATTAAGTAATAGAGGTAATTTTGGCAAATCACTCTTATAAAAAATAATTTATTTGAAAAACATAGGTAAATTTCATATCAGTTTTATAAACTGGAAAAATATTATTGGACATCCTAAAATAGTATAGTAAATAATTATTGTTGCATAAAGGGAATAATCATATGTTATTTTTAATTCTATCTTTTCATAGTAATTCTATCGTGTACCTTACTTTTTTTTTAAGTTTATATTTAAATTATAAATTTCAATTGCGTCGATTGAATGATTAAAAAAAATTAATGTGAACTTGAGACTCCTTAAAACAATCATCTTCGTAAGATGAAAGTTGGGAAATGATATGAACTAGATGTATAGTCATACTGATTTATTAGGAGAGATAAAATTAGATTTATTTAAAATAATGTGAGACTCTCACAATGAGAGTGATTCTCCTACAAATTTATAAGATAGGCTGAAATAATTTGAATATATGAAAAGCTATGCATAGATAAATTAACTTGCAGTATTGATGTATTATTTGTAGTGAATTTAAGGAAAAGTAGAAGTAAATTAAAGAAATATTGAAAAGGGGTAATTAAAGAGACAGAAGGTATACGATCAGGAGTGACTTAGCGCAATTAAAAGTCTAAAGCAAAATATTAATTGAGTTAATAACTTTGATGGCCATTTAACTATCAATTTTTTTTTATAGAAAATCACTCAATTTTCATTTTCAACTCAAAAGTCACTCAACTATTATTTCTTTGCACAGAAAGTCACTCAACTTTTATTTTCAACTTAAAAGTCACTCAACTAAGAATTTTTTGCACAAAAAGTCACTCAACCTATTTACTTATTTTTTCATAAAAATTTAGTGACATGAAATTTTAATATTAACAAAAAATTTTAGAATCAAATATATATATCCTTTTAAAATATCTAATGACCCGCTCATTTAATCCAACCTGCTAAAAATATGATATTAAACATTTTATTTTATCATTAATTCCCTAAATCATTCCCCGTTGAACATTGAACATTTTATTTTACCATTAATTCGCTAAAAGAATATTGGAGACTAGGGAGAATGATTTAAGAAATGAATGGTTCAATATTTTACTTTTAGCGGATCGGGTTAAATGGAGCGCGTCATTATATGGGTATACATATATTTGATTCTTAAAATTTTGGTTAATAATTAAAATTCTATGTCACTAATTTTAATGAAAAAAAATAATTAAATAGGTTGAGTGACTTTCTGTGCAAAAAAGTCATAGTTGAGCGACTTTTAAGTTGAAAATGAACGTTGAGTGACTTTCTGTGCAACTAAGTTATAATTGAGTGACTTTTGAGTTGAAAATGAAAGTTGTGTGGCTTTCCGTGAAAACAATTGATAGTTGAGTGACCATCAAAGTTATTAACTCAATTTTAATTTGAGGTCTAAAATATATACATATATATGAACAAATTTCATATACATATTTATTCAAAAATTATTTTTCTTACACTATTTAGATGAAAATTATTAGTACTTAATGTTGTTTTTTCAGTTATTGATTTTAGGTAAAATTTTATCTTCCCAATATTGAAAAACATCCTTTAGTGAGATAATTATTATATGAATTGTTAACATAATTCTATGAGTAGAGTTGACAAATATTAATTAAATAAAGATAAGAGTGAAAAGTTAGAACCAAAAAATGAGATTCAAGAAGATGATGACTTGATTTACCCATTTCTATATGTTTGTTGTAATGCTTAAAACGAAATAAAAAAAAATTGTAATTCACTTTGTTCAACATTTTTCACTATTATTTTTTATTTTTAATGAAGGACAAATATTCTAAATTGAGTGAAATTATATATATTTTTTTAAAATATTCATCAATTTTTTCTATAAAATTTCTAACACATAATTTATTTTTCATAAAAATTTGGGACCCTCGAAATTTGAAGGCCTAAGGCATAAGCCTTATTTTTGCAAAGACAACAGCCGGCCCTGGACACGATATTAGATACATATGAAATATATAAATTAAAATAGAAAATCAACTCCATAAATTTTAGTATTCCTTTAGATTCTTTAGGTAGAAAAAAAAATGGCAACTAAGTTTGTTATAGATTTTGATGTCTCGAATAATCTCATAAATTAGTTAGAACATTGTTTTGCTATGCTTTTTGCCTTTAACAAAATTTGTTTGAGAAGTTGATATTGGAATGGGTGGTATCAATGAAGCTCAATATTGGCTATTCTTTCGTTGTATCATGATTTATTTTCCATAATTATATGTGGTAACTTTTTTACGGATGTAATTCAAAGAATTTTCATTTATTTGTTGTTGTTATTGTACTTCTTTATTTTTAAAACTACAAACTTCTACATGAATCTGCTTTTACTATTCTCTCTCTCCATTCCATTTTCACACGACCCAATCAATTTTTCTTAAATTGTTGTTAAAAGTTTTTTTTTAATCACCAGAACATACATCAACAAATTTCATTGCGCCCTATTTATAGTCAGTTTCAAGTCTTTCAATACCCAAATCAAGTTCAACCATTACACAGAAGAAAGGATAAACTTACACGTACCGAATGTTTACACAAAATCTCTATTATTACGTGATTTAAGAGTCATGTGACTTGCACATAAATGGGTCTGTTAATGTTTTTTAATGGAAATTTCACAAAGGATGAAACTTGCTAAGTTTTAATTACATTAAGGATGATTTTTGTTCAATAAATTAGTTAAAGGATGTACATTATGTTTTAGGCACCACACTAGTCAGTAGCCAAGATTTTTTATTAAATTGTACAAATTTATTGACCACATATCAACTTATGAGTATTTTTTTCTCTCTACAAAACTTAACATTTCTTGTTAAAATATCTATAGAAATTGACACTTCAATAAACATATCTTGGGTTTAGGACACTATAAATTTTCACCAAATTACTAATAGAATCACAGCTAACTCCGGACATGATATAACTGAAAAGAAAAGCAACAACTTGTGATTTTTAAACTAAATCACCAATTTTTTTACTTAAAAACACGAAGTCCTCTCCTATTTCAAACCTAAATCAAAAATTTTCAATTCAAAAACACAAAGTCCTCTTTAATTTTTAAACCTAAATAAAAATTTTCAATTCAAAAACACAGAGTCTAGAATCAAAAGATGAACCTGCAAGAATCGAAACCCTTGTTGCTATGAAGTTGAACGGCGGCAAGGAGATGAACGGCAGGGAGATGGAAGTGAATGGATTTACGCCAACATTTCATACAACTGAGTTATGTAAATGTTGTGAAACATGTTAATATGTTTAGTTTATCTGAATTTTGTTTAGAGCATAATTTGAGGCTTCACCCAAAATCCACCACTACAATGGATAACTTTTGTTCCAAATCCAAACTTAAAGTTAAGCTTACTGTTTCTGACTAATTCGTTTCACACTGTCATTAAAACAACCCTAGAAAGTAGTGACAATGTTAGAAATCACCATTTACTTGAAGAAAAAACAAGTGGGAGTCAGAAATCTCGTGTGGAAAGTGCCGCTCACTGCATCGCCTACGGCGGTACTGCGTTTGCACATATGCAAAGATCTCATCATTCTCAACACCGCAAAATCACATTCACCGAAGAAAAAATACGTAACAAAACTACTTCTCATAAATAAATAAAAACAAATAGGAAAAAAAGAGAGAAGGTTTTCGCCATTCCGATGGCTGAAATCTTATTAGCGCAGCTGCTGTGAGAAGAAAGAGGTGAAGCGTTGGGTTTTAATAGATAAGCTTGACGGCGATACTTTATAATATGTTGCCCTAATGCAACTCATAATTTTCTGCTCGCGTCTCCACCTAATCTAACTACATCCACCTCATCTACGGCTGGTATCATACGCTACTATTTTGGAGATGCCACATGATTTTAATAGGCATTTGAATATGTGATTTGAAATAAGTAATTTCATTTATTTCTAAAATTAAATTTGATCCATAAGTTTTATCTCGTGAGAAAAAGACCTAAATTTCAAATTCTACAAAAAAATTATAATTTATATTTTGTTCAAATTTTACAAATGACAAAAAAACTTATATTTGGCATGAAAAGATTATTTGTACCATGTGAATGAATTAAAAACTAGCTAGCTAGTTACCACTCCATCCATTTCAAATTAATTGAATTTTTAGGGTATTTTACGGAAAAAAGATTAAGACTTAACTTTTTATTTTTATCCTTATTAATTATTGTCAAATTTTATAATTAAAATAACTAAATTAATGAAAGATAAAATTCAAAGAACATTCTAAAAATAGTTTTGAAAATTGAACAGTTAAATTAATTTGAGAAAAATATTTTAATAATTCAATTAATTTAAAATGAAGTAAGTATTGAATATTAATGTTGGCTAATGAATCTTTATATGTATACACAAAAATTGATTTATAAAAACAACATAAAAATTTATAATTTATCAATACTGTACCTTCGGATATCCTAATTTTTGAACTACATAAGATATTCATTTTTATAAGATTTATGTATTTCTTTGTGAGATTGTCTTCTCTCAATTGTATATGATGAGCATACTTTCTCCTACTATTAGCTACTATTAATATCTTTTTATTCATATCAACTGCAATTATATTAAGTTTGAAAAGTCTCTAAGCACCATGACGATTTTCTATATACATATTATTTTTGCTAATAGCCTTATTATAAACAAAAACATATTTCACGTTGTGAAGAAAAGCTCTATCAATGAGCTTTAAGAAGATGAAGAAGACGAGAGAAGAGATGAGAGAATGATGAAGAAGAAGCTTTGTATATTTCTGTGTGTATCTGTACATATGAGCCCTCTTACTTATATATACAATTACATTTATGTATTAAAGAAACTACCTTAACTAACCTGCATTTAACCAACTAATTAATTACCTAACTAACTAACTGAA